TAATCATCTTTCTTAATACCCATCTCCCTCTTCTACTTGATTATGGTTGAGAGAGTATCCATAGGGATAATTTAGAGAAAATGATAAATATGATAAATGGGTCTTATATTAGGACCAAAATCAACTTAAGAATTGGGTCATATATTAAGGACCGGAGGAGTACAAATATGAGAGATAAAGTGGATTAGGATCTTATATTTAGAATCAAAATAAAAATCAAACAAAATTTTATATTAAGGACTAGAGCTAGTACATGTAAATTTAAATTATTAAAGGCTACTATACATCTCAATATTACTGTTATGAAAGTAAAGGAACATGGGTTTGGTCCTTCGAATTTTCGATTTGCTATGGCTGTTAATGTATGCTCGTTGTTTTGCAAATCCAAATGGGCAAATAAGGCTGAATTTTATAAAAAGTGGGGTTGGTCTGACCTAATAATGACATTCTTGCGGCAGTTAGAAGACTCCCCTTCCAGTATGATGCTGTCAGTGCATCCAGATGACAAACTGGGATGTCCACCTTCCACTATTAAAATTATTCCCTCCCCTTCTTATAATTTTTTAAATAGATTTATTTTTTATATAAAATTATTTTTGAATTTGTCTAAATATTTAATATATTATTTCTTATTTTATCCCTAGTTTACTGTATTTAATATATTCGCTTTCTTTATTTATCTGACTATTACTCTCCCACATCTCCTCATTTATATATAGGGGTATATTTGGAAAAAAATTATATTTGCTACATATTAATTGTTTTAAACTAATTTTAACTGTTTTATTAAATTGTGTAATTTAATTAAAAGGATCTTATAATAAGGGACGTAGTAGTACATGATTTAAAAAAATAACTAAAATTAGTTAAAAGTAATAAATATATATGAAATAAAATTTTTCCCTACGTATGCCCTTATGAAATGACCAAGTCAATTCATAAAACTAATTAGAAACAATAGTAAAAACATATTAAATGTCCAAACAACTTTACTTACGATCTTATTAAAATGACCAAGTCAATTTAAATTTCACGTTACTATAAAAAGAACAAAAAGGAGTAAATAATACTCCTAGACTGGGTAGGATACCTAATGTTCAGCCTATATCCCATCCTGTTTTTTTTTTGCCAAAGTATAGCTATCTTCTTATTGGAGGTAATCCTATTCGAGATACTGTCGGGTACTAAATGTGGACACCTCTCCTAACAGGAATTCAAACCTTGATTCGTCACGTTGTAAAAGATTAGCTCTTTCCGCTAAACCCAACCCCTATTGGTTGTCCCACTCTGATCACAACACCATCTTCTTGTGTTAATAAGCCCTGTACTAAAATATGGTTTTATCTTTTTAATAAACTGGTTCAGTAAACATGCATTGCATGAGTGCAAATAGATGTTTGTTTATGTATTAGACGTTTATTTATGGTATATACATACAACATGAACCAATTTAAAATTGGATTAAATTAAATTAAAAAAAAACACATAAATAGGGGATCATGCATAGAAACATGGCTTTCACAAAAATAAAAAATAAAGATAATTTATCTGCATAATGTGCTGCCACGTGGCAGACTGTTATTATGTCTTGCTTTTGTAATGCAGTAATAATATATTTAGATAATATTACTAAACAAGCCCTTACACATAGGATTAGAAGCAGTAGATGGATAATGGACTTTCTTTAAAAAAAAAAAAAGGGTAAAATGTAAAACCAGAAAATGCATTTAATATAGGCGATGCTGCGCAGAAGGGTTTTACGCTTCGTTCTCTAGTCTTCGAAACGAACGGAGTCCATGTTGCCTTCTCTCCGCAAAGCTATCGGTATCAGCGCAGTCTCTCCTTCAACATTGCAACATCTGATTTGTGTTCAAACCCAGTGGTTTTCATCAAGGTATGCTTATTCAACCTCTTCCAATGGGCATTCTTTCACCGTCTCATATCTCATTGACACCTGTGGCTTGTCACCCAAACAAGCTGCTTCAGCTTCTAAGCGTGTCAGCTTCGAAACGCCGGATAAGCCTGATTTGGTTATCAATTTCCTTAAAAGTCATGGATTCTCTCAGCCCCAGATTGTTCGTTTCATTGCTGAGATCCCATCGTTTCTCCGATATGATCCTGAGAAAACCTTTCTGCCCAAAATTGAATTTTTCAAATCCAGAGGCGTTTCGAGCTCAGACATCCCTAGGCTCATATGTAGTTGTCCTAGAATCATGTCAAGAAGCTTAAGGAAGCAGCTCATTCCTTCCTTTGACTTCTTTCGAGATGTGTCTCAATCTGACGAGAAGCTTATTAAAACTCTTCAATATTGCTCGGGCATTCTTCTTAACGCCAACACAATTGCCCGGCCTAATATGGAGCTATTGCGAGAAGCAGGAGTTCCTGAATCAAATGTCATCAAATTGTTGCAAGTGTATCCTAGGACATTAACTGCAAGCCCTAATGTGTTTAAGGACATTGTAGAAGAAGTGAAGAATATAGGGATCAATCCTTTGAAGTATCAATTTCTTATGGCTATTCATGTATTCTTCTGTCTAAACAAATCCTCATTGGCAAAGAGAGCTGATGTTTATAAAAAGTGGGGTTGGTCTGACCATGACACTCTTGTGGCATTTAGAAAGTTCCCTTCTGTATGGCAGCAGCAGAGGATAAGATCGATGCAATAATGGAGTTTCTTGTCCATAAATTGGGCTGTGAGTCTTCTACTACTAGCAAATATCCTACAGTTTTTACATTGAGCTTGAAAAGGCGAATAGTTCCGAGAGGTGCTGTCATTCAAGCTCTGTTGTCAAGGGGTCTAATGAAAAGAAAACATTGTTTGCAACATTTGTATATAGTGAAAGTTATTTTCTGAGGAGGTTTCTCCTTTGTCAGGGGCAGGAAGCAACTCAATTATTAGAGTTGTATCAGTCTAAACTGGATCTTGCAAGGAAAATGAAGAATGGAAAGGTTTGAAGGTAAGAATATGGACTAAGATGTAGCAATTGTAGACCTGTTTTCTCTTCATTTGTATTGGTACGACGCATTATTAATGTTTATGTGGTTTGCTTTAATTTAGGTTGGGAATGACATATCTAGCATGCAAAGAGCTTCATATTACACTAGGATCTCTCCATTTGAATTTAGCCCCAAGTTTTAAAGCTTATCTGAGAAGGCGTTTTGGAGTAAGAATCATGTATAGAGACATTGTTTTACCTTTCGTTGGATTATAGAACCCTTCATCAGTAGGCTTTCGTGGGCCATATTTTCCATTTGACCTTCTTCGTCACTAGTGCTGCATTAAAACCATCCTTTTCCAAATCAGAATTCTGGTTTATGATTAGTAAACTATGTGACGAGGTTTTAAAAATACTCTTGCTTTGTTAGTTGGTTAATGTTTTGAACCTGTTAATTCCTCCAATTCTAGTTTACTGATCCACTTGATTCTACGTGTTCAGTTTTGCTGTTAACTCATAAACTAACTTCATTTGGCCTTTGGGAGAAAGGGATGAGTAACGAAGATAATCCAACACTTCATCTGACAAAATAATCAAACCGCCTTTGTTCATATGGGTTTTGTTTGGTTACATGATATACCTTATTATTTTCAGTATTGAAGGATTTTATTTTACTTGATTCAATTTGATTTGACTAGGTTTGAATATGCTACTTGATTCACCCTGTCTGCACATGTTAGTGTTTTTATCTGGTTCAGAATGTATTTTTTCTTAATAAACATTAAGGTGAAGTAGTGATATTCATATTATTTTGGTACAAATGGCTTTGGCCATTCATGTCTCAATTTTGTGATTTTCTTTCAAATGGGATATGTATAATATATTAGCTAGAAAATTTAGCGCGCTTCTGGTTCAATATTGACAACTAAAATTGTAGTTTTAGCATTGATTTGAGGATTTTCTTTTACACTTGTTGGTGCTTGCTAAGTTCTTGATTCAACACTTTATTATTCAACTTAATTGGATTGATATTTGTGGGTTTCCCACCCAATTTAACAAATAAGTCCTAAGCGTAATTTTATATCTTATATTAATATATTTTATCCATACTGATACCAACTTATACTTTTTAAGCTATTTTTCTTGATACCTTCCTGGGCGTGACAACCTGAACATCTTATAGCATTCCATTAGGCCCTTTGAAATGGAAACATTTCAATTTTTGGACAGCCTGTCTCTTTCCTAACCAGTCAGCATAGAGAACTGGATTTAGGGCATTATGTTGGGAGAAATGTACCATGCATATTTCTTTTCTTATTATTATAACATCTCTTCTTTTTGATGCAAAAAAATTTAAGTGAGTTGAGTCTGGAGACTAACCTAAGCTAGTGAAACATCTCTTCTTCTTCTTCTTTCCATTCTTTTTTAATTTGCTTTGGCTCTACCAGGAATTAAGTTCAAGACCCCAACAGAGTCACAGAGGAGCTCCATTGTTCCAGAAAGTGGGAGTATTTTGCCAATTCAAAAACATTCCCAAAACAATGAGGCTGTGGTAAACATTGTTAAGGTAAGTGCAAATTCCATCATCCTAATCATATAGCCGATGTTTGCATCACATAGGAATCACTCCTATGGTACGGAGCTGATATAATGTGCATGCCATTATACCAAATGGTAATTATCGGAGGGCTGGTGGAAGAAGGACATATACGTCTACAAATCATGCTTCAGAGTAATCGACATCTTGTAGAGGTTTTTGAGTTAGGATTCGAGCTGAGTTGGGTTTTGCAGAGCTTTCGGTCAGAAAAGCTTGCATAGGATGGCAGTAAACAATAAAAGAGCCTATGTAATCAAGAAGCTTATCTTCAAGTTTAACGTGTGTATAAAACATATGCAAATATAGCCTACAGATGGAATGATAAAAGGAACAAAGTAGAAGCTCCATTTCACAACTCTATTATACAAAGCACTCTAAGTTTATAAAGTTTATTTATTTATGGGAAGAGGAACAGATCGTTATTTCATTGGCCTCCTAATTTTTCTGTTGATAATGTAAAACAGGAACAATGAGAAAATAATAATCTATTCATTTATTATGTATTATTTATCAATGTTAATTATTTTGAATTAAAAAGATACATTTTACTTTTTAAATTTGAATTGTTTTTGGAGCCTTCTTCTATCCTTATTTATTTATGTTAATTTTTTTTTGGGCAGAACATGTGAAATAGAGATAATAATAAGATAATCAAAATGGATGGGAGAACGTTGTATGCTAAGAATATGCTTATTTTGCAGCTTAGTGAGGTTATTCACATTGTATGCGATGTACTCCCTTTTGTTGTAGTCTCGATATTTCAACATTTACACTAAAAACCAAAGAATATCTAAATCATTTGCTACATAAAAGTAAATCAACATCAAAATATTAGGTTTCATGGGATTTTCATTAATGAGAGTTAATTATGACTGATGTAAAATAAAGAGTAAACTTTGACATATGAATGGTAAGATAGAGATGAAAGCAGCATTGTCGAAGAAGTGATGGGGAGTTGAAGTCTAAACCATAAATAATTGTAGACTAAGACGGAAAAAATGAAGATTTGATGAAGCATCGACAAAAGAAATCTACTCAGAATCAACGCTAAACATTATGCACAATTATGCCTTGCTTTATTCACAAATTTCAACTAGAAAGAATGAAGAAAATTGGTAACTGGAAAATTATTTGGGTAGTGGAATCAATTTATTTTTCTTGAATTACTTTGGGTTACAAGTTACTGGAAAAGTTTTGTCATTTTTCTTGTACTGTATCTCCTTGGCTTCTTCATCATGGGTATAAATCTAAAATATAAGAATGAAATTAAAATGAGAAGAGATATCAAATCATGAAGAAAAATCATAATAAAAATAGAGAAAATACGAATACCAAAAACTTCACAATGCCCGCAGATGCCCTAGGGTGAGTTTGGGATCATAGTAAAGGCTACCAAACTGACTTCTCCACCAATAAAAGCTGAAAAAAAAAAACAACTTTTTGTTTAAAATGTATGTTTGGATTTACTGTGGAGGTAAATGGGCTCAGGAAATGTTTAGATAGAAATAAAACCATTATTTTAAAAATATTTTTATGGTATACAAAGTAAATATGTAAAGAAAATTATATCGATTTGTGAAAAAATACTTTTAAAGTTTTCCAAACACTCCCTTATACCGGAACGATCTCTTTTCCAAAAGCTCCTATTCTCAACTCCTTCGCTGCTGCAGGTCAAAAAAAGCTCCACTGCACGTTTTGATAGGTGGGGCAAGGGAGGAGAGGCAATGCATGATGCGAGTTTCTTTTTTGTTTTTTTAATCCAGCCAATTGGTTTTTAACATTAAAGAAATTATTTTTTGAATAATAAAATCATTTTAAAAAAAATAAATTTATTATCCTTTAAAAAATAACTATTTTTATTTTTATAATTTTAATTTTAATTTTTCTCTGACAATTATCACATTATAAATATGTAATATAAATATGTACCATTCAATAAACTTCATATCATTTTTAGTTATTCTACATCTAAATTTATTTTTTTATTAATCATTCAAACAAGTTTCAACTTCTTAAACTGACTTTTTTATAAAAGTCAATCCAAACATAAATCACATTATATTACCTGACTTTTATCTAATCTGACATTTGCAAGAGTCATATTGAAAAAAAGTAACTTCTCCCACCGCTAATCCAAACACACCTTAGTGTCTTATATTGCCTTATCACAAGAGTAACCTTCCTAGTAATATTGTGCTTCGAAAACTTCACAATCTCCCCACTTTCATTGATTCCCATCCGCTTCTGCTTGGTTGTCATGGTCGCCTGGAGAGGAGTAAAAGGGAGCAATCGGCAAGGATAAGGGAATAAATCATTTTCAATGATTTTTTAAAAAATGGAAAGGCATGAGGGAGAAATGCATAATATTTTTTAAAATAGTTTTATTTTGAGATTGTATTGGTTGGTTAGTAAACTGAACAGAAAATTATGAAATCCTGCACCCAAATAAATCGGGGTAAATTAGGAAAGTTATATCATTTTCATATATTTTTAATTTAAAATTAAAATATTTGGTCAGGATCTTTATTTTAAGAATAAAAAATTCAACTAAAATAATTTAAACAGAAATAATACAATGTGGGAATAAGTAATAAGAGTAAAATTAAAGATTAAAAAAATCTATAAGAATTGAAATTTAAATATTAATGGAAGCTGTTCGAAAATTTTTATAACTGGCGGTGAGTCAAAAAAGTTATATCATTTTCATATATTTTGAATTTAAACTTTAAAATATCTATTATTTGGGAGTTAAATACACATACAAAGAATATAATGGAAGTAATGTGCAGAAAATTCCAGCTTTTACAAAAGTGAGAAAATAACACCAATCACATACTACCTCCGGTCCTAATCATGCGTAGTCACAAAAATAGGGGAGGTGCGCTTATAATTACGGATTTTAAAAAATGAAAAAATAAAACTCATTTACCCGTATGATTGAATGACTGAAATCAAGTGGCAGTTTCTTGTGAGTCTTATTTTTCACTCTACTTTCAATAGATAGGTTAATATAATTTTTAGTCTCTTAAATTTGTCATGATTTTGGTTTTAATCCCTCGGATTTCAAATTACTCCTCCAGTTTTAAATATAAGACCTATTTTGTAGTGTAGATGATCTATTTTGTAGTGTAATTTACACAACAAAATAACTCTTATATTTAGGACTGAAGGAGTCTTTCAAATGGTAAAATGATCTAACTTTTTGTTAGATTAGAGGGCTAATATTCTAAATAAAAAGAAATTTGAGGAACTAAAAGCTATTGTTTAAAACTTGAAGGACTACGATCAAAATAAGGGTCAACTTAAAGGACTAAACCTAATATTAATCCTTAATAGATACTCATCTGGTCCTATATAGGGTAGAGAGAGAATGCATTTTTTAGTTTTATTTATAGGATACTGAGAAAAATTTTCTGCATGAATGTACAATTTTACCCCTCATTTATTATTGCATTAACTTTGTTTATATGAGGTATAATATATATTAAATAGAGATGACGTTAAAAAGTTATTAAATTTTAAATGTAAGTTAATGAAATTTAAGTTTTTTTTTGTCTGCATAAAATATACTAAAAATGTTTTATAAATAGATCAGAGGACTAATAGATAAATAATAGACTCTCGGAGGTTTGGTTGGGGAAAAGTAAAAACAGCTAAGCATTAGCGAAAAATGCATTTAATATGAGGAATGCCGCGCGCAAGGGTTTTACACTTCGCTCTCTAGCCTTCGAAACGAACGGAATCCATGTCGCGTTCTCTCCGCAAAGCTACCGGCGTCAGCGCAATCTCTCCTTTAACATTTCAACATCTGATTTGTGTTCAAACCCAGTGGTTTTCATCGAGGTATGCTTATTCAACCTCTGCCAATGGGCATTCTTTCACCGTCTCATATCTCATTGACACCTGTGGCTTATCACCCAAACAAGCTGCTTCAGCTTCTAAGTGTGTCAGCTTCGAAACGCGGGATAAACCTGATTTGGTTATCAATTTCCTTAAAAGTCATGGATTCTCTCAGCCCCAGATTATTCGCTTCATTACTGACACCCCATCGTCTCTCCGATATGATCCTGAGAAAACCTTTCTGCCCAAAATTGAATTTTTTAAATCCAGAGGCTTTTCGAGCTTGGATATCCCTAAGCTCATATGTAGTTATCCTAGAATCATGTCAAGAAGCTTAAGGAAGCAGCTCATTCCTTCCTTTAACTTCTTTCGAGATGTGTTTCAATCTGACGACAAGCTCATTAAAACTCTTCGAATTTACTCGGGCATTCTTGTTGATGCCAACACAATTGCCCGGCCTAATATGGAGCTATTGCGAGAAGCAGGAGTTCCTGAATCAAATGTCATCAAATTTTTGCAATATAATCCTAGGACATTAACTGCAAGTCCTAATGTGCTTAAGGACATTGTGGAAGAAGTGAATAATATTGGGATCAATCCTTTGAAGTATCAATTTCTTATGGCTGTTCATGTGTTCTTCTGTCTAAGCAAATCCTCATTGGCAAAGAGAGCTGATGTTTATAAAAAGTGGGGTTGGTCTGACCATGACATTCTTGTGGCATTTAGAAAGTTTCCTCTCTGTATGGTAGCAGCAGAGGATAAGATCGATGCAATAATGGAGTTTCTTGTCCATAAATTGGGCTTTGAGTCTTCTACTGTTAGCAAATATCCTACAGTTTTTACAATGAGTTTCAGAAGGCGAATAGTTCCGAGAGGTGCTGTCATTCAAGCTCTGTTGTCAAGGGGTCTAATGAAAAAGAAAACATTGTTAACAAAATTTGTATATAGTGAAAGTTATTTTTTGAGGAAGTTTGTCCTTTGTCATGGGCAGGAAGCTACTGAATTATTAGAGTTGTATCAGTCTAAACTGCATCTTGCAAGGCAAATGAAGAATGGAAAGGTTTGAAGGTAAGAATATGGACTAAGATGTAGCAATTGTGTACCTGTTTTCTCTTCATTTGTATTGGTACGACACATTATTAATGTTTATGTGGTTTGCTTTAATTTAGGTTGGGAATGACATATCTAGCATGCAAAGAGCTTCATATTACACTAAAATCTCTCCATTTGAATTTAGCCCCAAATTTTAAAGCTTATCTGTAACACCATGCAGAGGGTTAGCATTGTTTATGTTTCCTTAGAGAAGGCATTTTGGAGTAAGAATCATGTATAGAGACATTGTTTTACCTGTCATTGGATTATTGAACCCTTCATCAATAGGCGTTCGTGGGCCATATTTTCCATTTGACCTTCTTCATCACTAGTGCTGCGTTAAAAACATTCTTTTCCAAATCAGAATTCTGGTTTATGATTACTAAACTATGTAACGAGGTTTTAAAATCCTCTTGCTTTGTTGGTTGGTTAATGTTTTGAAACTGCTAATTCCTCCAATTATAGGTTACTGATCCACTTGATTGTGTATGTTCATTTTTTCTGTTAACTCATAAACTAACCTCATTTGACCTTGGGAGAAAGGAATGAAGTAACGAAAATAATCCAACAGTTCATCTGATAATATTTAGTTATTTTTTACCATTATTTTTGCTCCTGAAACTGCCTTTATTCATATGGGTTTTGTTTGGTTAGATGACATACCTTATTATTCTCAATATTGATGGATTTTATTTTACTCGATTCAATTTGATTTGACTAGGTTTGAATATACTACTTGATTCACCCTGTCTGCTCTGGTTGAGAATGTATTTTTTCTTAATAAACATAAAGGTAAAGTTGTGATATTCATATTATTTTGGTATAAATGGCTTTGGCCATTCATATTTCAATTTTGTAATTTTCTTTCAAATGGAATATGTTTAATTTATTAGCTAGAAAATTCAGGGCGCATCTGTTTCCGCATTGACAACTAAAATTGTACTTTTAGCGTTGATTTGAGCATTGTCTTTCACACTTATTGGTGCTTGCTAAGTTCTTGATTCAACACTTTATGATTCAACTTAATTGGATTGATATTTGTGTGTTTCCCACCCAATTTAACAAATAAGTCATAAGCATAACTTTTATATTTTATATTAATATATTTTATCCATACTGACACCAAATTATACATTTTAAGCTATTGTTGTTTATGCCTTCCTGAGCATGACAATCTGAACATCTTATAGAATTCCATTAGGCCCTTTGAAATCGAAACATTTCAATTTTTGGACAGCCTGTCTCTTTCCTAATCAGATCAGCATAGAGAACTGGATTTGGGGCATTATTTTGGGAGAAATGTACGATGTATGTTTCTTTTCTTATTATTATAACATCTCTTCTTCTTTTTGGTGTAAAAAAGGTTTAGGTGAGTTGAGTCTGAAGGCTAACTTAGGCCAGGGAAGCATCTCTTCTTCTTTCCATTTTTTTAAATTTGCTATGGCTATACCAAGAATTAAGTTCAAGACCCCAACAGAGTCACAGAGGAGCTCCATTGTTCCAGAAAGGGGGAGTACTTTCCCAATTCAAAAACATTCCGAAGACAATGAGGCTGTGGTAAACATTGTTAAGGTAAGTGCAAATTCCATCCTCCTAATCATGTAGCCGATGTTTGCATCACATAGGAATCGCTCCCATGTTACGGAGCTGATATGTTGTGCATGCCATTGTACCAAAGGGTAATTATCAGAGGGCTAGTGGAAGAAGGACATATACCTCTACAAATCATGCTTCAGAGTAATCGACATCTTGTAGAGGTTTTTGAGTTAGGATTCGAGCTGAGTTGGGTTTTGCAGAGCTTTCGGTCGAAAAAGCTTGCATAGGATGGCAAGCCGACATCTATCAAACTAGTTGCAGAGCGTGCTGTGTGTTTCAGTTTTTGCCGTCTTGGACCATTTACCATCGCATCTATTTTTTTTCCCTCTTCTATTTGGCCCTTTTACGTTGTTTTCTTCTCAAGCTATTTATCGTTGTCCTATGTCCCATACTAATAAAGGATAGAAGCCAGTTTTTGGATGTCCCGTGGGACAAAACATGGACGACTTTGGAAGGCTTGTCCTACAGTTTGACGTGACAACGAAATAAATCAATCAATTAATGCATAAAGTGAAAGCAAAGATATATATGGATGTGGAGATGAGTTGGTAGTGCTTAAACAAGAACAATTTCAAATTATAAAGGAGAAGAGCATGCATATAATCAACAAAATTCAAATAGGTAATAAATATTAGGTGCCTTATAACCTCATCAAAACCTAATTTATCCATGACATTAAGTTCAAGCCATTTCAATTTTTGGTCTAAGAAGTTGGTTATGTACTTGTTATCTTTTTGCCTCATCTTTTCAAAAATGCTACTGAATTTAATAACATTATTCCACATCATGTAAGTTGAATCCCACAGACAATTCATGTTTAATAGACTCTTTGTATCAATTTTCATTCTTCTGCGGGCTCTTTCAATTTACTAGAGGGAAGTAAGGAGCTAGGAAGTAAACAATATCTTGGCATGTCTTGTGAACCATCTTGTCCTTTATCTTGTCCTAATTTACTCTCGAAGCAATCTCAACATGATTAAGCCCAATACTAATGTATCATTTTGATTTTGGAGGATCAGCGAGCTAACTGTCAGTTGTTTTCTTTTTCTTTTGGTTTTTGTCAAGCTTACTGCTTGCCTTGGTATCTCAAAACCAAAAAGAAATCATTTTATCTCTATAATGAATAATTGAATTTGTGCAAAAGAAAAAAGAAAAAAAAGAGCATTAATTAAAAATATTTTAGTTAAAAAATGCATTTAATACTGGCCGCAAGGATTTCACTCTCTACCTCGCTCTTGCTTCAACCTTCGAAACGAATGAAATCCATGTCTCATTCCCTTCGCAACGCTGGAAAAGTAGTTTATTAAAAAAAGTAGCTTATAGAGAAGTGAATTGGATAAAAGCTAAATTGAATAAGCTGAATTGTGTTTGGATTAGAGTTCAGAAAAACTAGATTGCAAAAGTGAGATTGGTAAAAGATTGTTTGGATTATGATTGAGTAAAAGTAAGTTTGGTTGTAAAATGATCAAAATAGATACGAGTTTTAATAAATAATGAAATATGATTAAAAAAATAATTTCACATAATACAATGAAATTAAAATAATTTAATATGAAGAAGTTATAAAAAATATTTTAAATATAAAGTGAAACATGAAAAAATAAAAGTATATTTTTAGGAGCATATTTAAAAATAAAAATATACTTCTAACTTATTCATTACTTTCAACTAATTTTAACTGATTTTTTATTATCTACAAATTAGTTATTTGAGGCTTATAATAAGAACCAAAAGAGGTAATAAATTTCTTAACTTTTTCTCTCTCTATATTTCAAAAGCTATAAGCCATAAGCTATAAGTCATAAGCTGTTAATTTTAGTTTATAGCTTATTGTAGCTTTTCAGACAAAAGCCCGATTGCAAAAAAGCTGATCCAAACAGACCTAATTGTATCAATTGAGCTTATAGAGCTTATAAGCCACTTATAAGCTCAAAATAAATGATGCCAAACAGGCACATCATATCTGTGTTCAAACCCAGTGGTTTTCATCGACGTATGCTTATTCAACGTTGTTCCACGGGTATTCATTCATCGTCTCTTATGTGTGTGTTTGAGAGAGATTTATGGGCAAGAAGGAGTTTATTTTGTAGCAAAAATCCGATTTAAAAGGTAAGTCTGTTTGGGAGAGCTTATACAAGATCACACTTGGGAGCTAAAAATGGGGCCAAACACGCAATTCACTTTAAGGGGTGTTTGGATACTTTGAAAAGTACTTTTCTGAAGTATTTTTTCGCAAATTGAGATAAACTCCTCCATGTATTTATTTCGTAAACCGTAAAATCATTTTTGAAACCATAATTTGGTTTTCATCCAAACAATCCTTTAAACTAGGAGAGGTAGCTTTTTCAAGTGGCAATCAGGCATAAGACTGTTGGAAATTATCAGAATAATAATTTTCTTTTATTTCTCCTATTATTCTCTCATTATTTAATAAAATTCATGAGCTTTTTTGGTAATTTTCAACCTAAACTTGTTTTTATTCAATTGTAATCTAAATAACTTTTTACCCAATTTAACTTTTACAAATTAATTTTTATAAAATCCAATCCAAACACAATTTATGTTACCAAATTTAACTTTTACTTAATCTAACTTTTTCAAAAGTCAAATTGTAAATAAATTATTTTTTCTACCGCTAATCCAAATGGAACCAGGCCTAATTGATACATGTGGTTTCTCACCCAAAGAAGCTGCTTCAACTTCTAACTGCGTTAGCTTTGAGACATTAGATAAACCGGATTTGGCTATCAAGTTCCTCAAAAATGATGGATTCTCGCAGTCCCAGATTCTTCGTTTCTTTAGGCATTGCCCATAATTTCTACGATCTGATCCTCAAAAAGTCTTTCTGCCGGAGATTTGAGTTTTTCAAGTCCATTAGTGTTTCGACCTCACGCATCCCAAGGCTCCTATGTTCATGTCCCAGCATCATGAAAGGAAGCCTAAGTAAGCAGCGCATCCCTTCCTTTAATCGCTTACGAGATATTGTTCAATCTGATGATAAGCTCATTAAAGCTCTTCAATGTTGCTCGGGCATCCTTCTTGATGCCAACACCTTTGCTGTGCCGAATATGAAGCTATTGCGAGAAGTAGGAGTTCCTGAATCAAAATGTCATCAAATTATTGTGTGTGTATCCTAGGACATGGACAAAAAGTCCTAATCCATTTAAGGACATTGCCTAAGAAGCGAAGGAAATTGCATTTGATCCTTTAAAAGTCCAATTTATTATGGCTGTTCATGTTTGCTCAACCTTAAAAAAAATAAAAAAATCCACAGGGACTCTTAAGGGCTGGTCCTTATAAGTAGTGGGGTTGTCCTCACAATGACATTTTTGTGGCATTTAGAAAGAAGACATTACTCTGTTTGGTATCATGTTTGGTATCATTTATAAATATATTTTATATAAATTGAAACAAAAATTTTTTTATATACTTATCTCGTATTCTGTAAATTACGATTGAAAAACTGTTTATAAAATATTCTAAATAAATACAAATAAATTATCTGAAATAGACTTTCTGAAAAGACATATCTTTTTGCATGAGCAGGTGAATTATTGGAGTTGTATTGGTCTAAACGGGGGCTTGCAAGGTAAATGAAGAACGAAAAGGTTTTGTGGTATGATTTTAGACCAAAGATGGGGCAAATTTGTATTAGAAAAAAAAAAAAAAGATGGGCCAATTGCTGAACTATCTTCTCACTACATTATTAACCTTTATGTTGTTTGCTCTTGTTTGGCTTGGACAGGACGTATCATTCAAAAGTAACGTTGCGCTATACGTGAAAATTGTTCTGCCTAAATGGACTTTTATTGAAGGATTAGATGACAAACATGCACCTTTTTTGTGTCATGTATAATAATAGACGCCTCTTAAAACAATGGTTTATGCTTACTTTTGATGACTTATTCGAAAAAAATCTGTCCCTAAATATAACTCAATTGATGAGTTTTTTCAAATCTATGTTGACCTTATAAATATGGAGGGAGATAAAGTAAATACTCCCTTCAATTCATAATATAAAGCGCCAGTTAACTTTTCTCACATATTAAGAAATAGAAGTTTGGTCATTACATGTATCTGCACGGGATAGGGACAAAGTTTTCATGCTTTATCTATAGAAAATTATAAAATTACTTTTAATGTTACCTTTTATTATCTCTCATCCTTGTCATATATTTAATAGGGAATTAGGGATAGAAGTAAAAAAAAATTACATTAATTATTTGACTAACGTCTTATATTTTGGATTATAATTTTCTTCTAATCAATATCTTATATTATGGATAAGAAGAAGCGAGAGCAAATATAAAACATAATTGTAATAGTCTTTGTTTAATAAGGAAAATGTGTCCGACAAAAGAAAGAGTGAATGTTAAAAAAAAATTAATTTAATGTATTCTTTTTAGTTTGCGTGCTTCTTATACAAATAAATAGAAAGGGTGATTAATCTTTCAAATTTTAACTCAATTATAATTCAGTTAATTTGGCATGACTACTTAATTCCCACCTCTCCCTCCCTCTCCATGTATATTCCTTTTACACCCTAATAATTCTCCGGCCTCCACCACTTTCCCCTTCCTCTGTTTCTTCCTTCTTGCTCGCTATTGTTTTGCAGAGCAATGGTAAAGCAGAGCAAGCAACTCACACCATAGTCTTAAATGGGTAGTACTGCTCCATTGCCCATTTAGTTTCCGATGAAAATCACAGCGTTACCTTTCAGTATCTTAGCCACTATATATTCCAATTTTCAACGTATAAACGGGGAGGAACCGGAGTGGGTGATTAGTAGCTTATTTTTAGCTCATTTGGATGCCACGTGGGCACACCTTTTGCCATATAAGATGATTTATGCATGGAAAGGATTGATTTATTAAGACTCTGTTTGAGTGTTCTAAAACCGTGGTTTTAAAAGTACTTTTCCGTAAAATGAAGTAACCTCCTTCACATATTTACTTCGTAATCCGTAAAAGTACTTCTGAAACCATGGTTTGGTTTTTATCCGAACACTCCTAAATGACAAAATAGATCGCTGGTAAAAAAAAAAGACAAAATAGATCAAGGACTGAGTTCAATTTCAGGAACTGAATGACACCGAGTTGTTGTGGCTGAGAGACTGACTCATGATTGAGTTAAAACTTGAAGACAAAAGGATTAATTTTTCGTTCAGTGTGGTAGTTCTTGGACCCCTGCCAACGCGTTTTCTTTGCTTGAGCATTGGAATCTGATGGAATCCATGTCTCGTTTTCTGAGCAGAGCGATCGGTTTTCGGAAGCACATTATCAACGCAACCTCTCCTTCAAGATTTCAACATCTGGTTTGTGGTCAAATCCAGTGGCTTTCTGTGGGGTACGCAAATTCAACCGCCTCAAATGGCCATTCTTTCACTGTTTCATATCTGGTTGACGTATGTGGCTTCTCAG